CTGATAATCAGTTTTCTACAGAAGTGCCTTTCGAGAGACTAGGACTATGCTGCTTGCAGCCTTGAATCACAAAAGACCCCATGGTCTTCATCCAAGGAGCTCATGGTAGTATTTTCATGGGGTTTACCTCTCCATTTTATCATCACAGTAACCCTGCAAGGTAGAATGGACTGAGTGAGAATAACTGGTTGAAGATCACCGATCATGGGTGAGTAGGTCTTCAGACCCAAATATCTCCTGGTCAAACATTCTAGTCATTGGCCATGCCACAAAATGGGGGTGGGCAGTCTGTGGCCTTTGGTCTAATTTCATGTGAGGGAGGGAGAAGGGGTTAAAGTGGATGGCAGAAAAGTAATGGCCCCACATATCTTTGACTCTAGTCCCTCCTACCTCCAGTATGTGGTCCCTGACAGATTAACTCTGAAGGAGTGCAGCCAAACTACAAATAAAGTTGCCCTGGCATAGACATATTTTGTCAATTACTGCAGATACTCCAGAAATGTAGCGGTAGTGATTGTGCTAGTTTAGTGGTAGTACCAGCAGGGTGCCTCGGTCCAGTCTGGGCAAGACTGAACCCTTTACTAGGAACCTGATATCCAGAAGAGATCAAGAGGTTACAGAGATCAGGGCAGGGAGACAGCAGTAAAAAATTCATTAACTTCCCAGAAGTTCCCAGAGTTGTGGGCTTTTTTGGAATTCTGAGCTACAGTTCATTCTTAATGGAGTTACCGTGCCAAGTTTGGCTGACTGTTTGACCTCCCCTTTTTAGGAGTGTGATGATGTGTGAAAGCCTTGCTGTCAGACAGAAGCAATAGTGATGCAATTTTCAGGGCTAATGATTCAGCTGACCTAATGTCCTCTTCCAGCTGCTTTCTATTACTGTTGCTTAACTGGGACGATGAAGGCTCAAGGGACTGGCTTTATGTAATGAACTTACTGTGCAATTATGGGCAGCTCCAGCAGGCATCTAGAGCAATATCCTTTTTTTTTCATTTTTGGACACTGAACCTTTTAAAAAACAAATGAACATTAACCTGGTGTAACATGGACATTCCCTACAGTTTTTTGCAACCATTATGAAAGTCCCCGTAACTTTTTGGATTTCCCTTTGAATCTTTAGCTGGTCCACAATGAGGCAAAGAAACTTCTTGTCCTCCTGTAGAGCAACATAATCAAAATAATCTGGCACAAGCAATGGCCATGAAGAATAAGTAAGTTTTTAAGAGGTTCCAAAAAGGCATCACCAGACATGTATAATGTTCTGCTGCCTTTAAACTGACTAATCAGTTCTGGGGTCCAGGAGTTTTGTCACTCTTAGCTTATTTTTGAGGTGGCTAAGGGGTGTTTGTGAATCTCCTTTCTTTCATTCTTCAAATCAGTCATCTCACCAGTAGTCTGCACACCTCAGCCTTCCCAATTAAAGCCCAGTGAAATGATATGTGACAACTTTTTCCATCGTGCTTTTTCAGAGCAGGGGTTGTGGGCAGCTGGGGGGAGGTGCAGAGGGCTGGAAAAATGCAAAGAAGAACTTTATTTTATCTGTCCTGAATTTTACAAAGACTCTCCTCCTGCAAAAGAGGGGAGTGGTTGTGGGCGGGAGCCGGTCTCCACCTCAAGCAGGGGGCATTAGCCCCCTGCCTCCCACTCACCTGGCTGGCGCCCACGCCCATGGACAAGCACCCAACCAGGTGCCTCCAAGGGGGCGTGAACGGCAGCGTAAATTGCGGCGGCGCCAGCCACCCGGCCTCACTCTTCATCGTCCCATCGAGAGTCACCCACCCTCCACTCCCTTAGAGCTCAGGGTCTCAGTTTTCTTTTGGCCTTGCTATGGACCTTAGGTTGGTCGCCCTGGTTGTCCGGGGGGCCTGGTAGGAATTTTTCCATTTGGCATTAGGCTTTTTGGTTTTTTCGCATACCTCGCAGCAATCGTCACAACTTTCGTGGTATTGGTGGGTAGGTTAGGCATTGAAATAATGTGTTGTGGTGTGTGGAAGGGCTAGGTGTGGCCATCGCCTACGCCTTCAATTTTTGGGTATTCCATTAAAGGAATCTGGCGGTCGTGTATTCTGTCCAATGCCTGCGTGACGGGGGGCCATGGCACGACCCTCGGTGACATCAGGGGAGAGCTTATAGTTGGATTAGCATCAACAGGCTCCACCTACTGGTGAATAAACCCCCCTTTTAGACTCACCCCTCTCCGAGTGGGTGGAGTCAGCTGATGTAATCCAATGCCTAAGCCAATACCTTTTCACTTGCTGTAATCAATAAAGTTGTGGCCTTTTCTTGCCCATTAACCTTATATCACGTGTCCTTGTGTTTTCATTCCACTATGCGGGAATCGGGTCCTCGAACCACAACATTCAATTTCATTGGTGACCCATGAGTTTTAGTGTTATGACAGAGGGGATTTTTTTTTCTATCTTCACTTTCTCCATGCCATGCACAATAACTTTTATCATGTCTTTATGCCTCATCTGAGGGTGGGGACAAAATGACAGAGCTGCTCAGTGGTGGCTCCTTGTCTGTGGAATGCTCTCCCCAGGGATGCGTGCCTAGTGCCATCACTGCCTGTTTTTAGGTTCCTTTGGGCTTGACTTTTCTGCTTACTTTTTAGTGGAGTAGGGTGGTTGAGTTGGATCTGCATTTTTAGGCATATTATTACGAGTGTTGCTTAAATTTTCTAATGTTTGGTTTTGTAAGTCACCTTGAGTTCATCTTTTTGAAAAAAATGTGACATCATCACCATCAAGTAAACAGGATTCTGTTGGAACCCTGCTCTTGTAGAGGCTTCAAAACTCAAGCATACCCCCATCTCCCATTTGCCTGCACTTCAAGTTCCAGTCTGCTTTGCCAGACCCCATCAGTATGTGTGCCATACCTCAGTAGGCAATGGCAATCAATGCTCATTGAAAAAGCATCTCCTCTCTGTCAAAAGCCATTGAGCAAGCAGTTTTGGCTAGCTCTAGAAACATCCACCGTGCCCACTGGTGCTCAATAGCAAGCTAGGAAGTGCATGAATGATGATGATGATGCTATTCCCAGTACGCCACCTTTATTAAGTCTTGATACAGTTTCATGCAATAATATACAACTCTAACATTCCGAGCCTGTATATTTCAGGGGTGGTTTTAGAAACAACACACTATAAGCACAGATGTTTGATAAGAAGGTGAAGTGACTGATGGGCTGTCTGGCTGTGACGTTAATCAATATGTTAATGAGGGATGGGCTGAGCAGCTAATTCTGTCCCATTGCGGTGTCACTTGTACTCAATCTTATGTCTGTTATGTGTGCTGTCACATGCCATTCTACCCCATCGATTGTAATTTGTATGCACTTCACATGTGCATTATACTTACAACATGCACTTTTCAATACATTCGCCAGTAAAATATGCGTCTTTTGTATGCAACTCTTATGTAAAGTGCATATTTTTGTGAACACTATTTGTGTACCAAAATATGCAGAGCAGAATCCAAAGATGTGAATAATCCAGCAGCCTATTCCATAGACTGTGTAGACATGCCTTTGTAACATGAATTTTCTTTTTTAACCCATCAGTATCTATCGATGGAAATATGTTTTATAAGAGTGCACATTATAAATATGGAAATGTTTTCACAAGGGGCTAAGAAAATAATATGGATTGTTTCAATGTGATGGCAGTCAGCACAACATTAAAAATGAAATGCTACATACATCTATGGAATGGAATGCATAAGCATCCCAGGACTGGTTAAAGTGTCGCTGTTGATTTTGTGTGTGGCTTGGGGCTTATATGGGCAGGCTGTTGTTGTATAGTATAGTAATACATTTAAAGCAGTATCATGCCACTTTAAAGCTTCCTGGCTTTCCCAAAAGAATCCTGGAAGCTGTAATTTGGTTAAGGGTGTTGAGAGTTGTCAAGAGACATCTTCTTCTTTGGCGATCACTCGTAGCCAAGGAAGGTTGTCTTCCATAAACACAGTTTTAACGGTGGGTCCATAAGTGTCTGTGGAGGCCAATTCTGGATCCACACACCCTTCCACAGTGGGGACATTGGTTTGCAGGCGGGAGTTGATCACAGTATGGATTTGCCAAGGGTGCCTTCCTCTTAGCACATTTCTCCCTTTCGTCCTGAGTTTGAGTGTCTTCAAAGCCCTTGACACCTTTGGTAATGGCTCTTCTCCAATTGGAGCACTTGCAGGTCAGTTTTTCCCAGTTGTCAGTGTTTATACTACATTTTTTAAGATTTGCCTTGAGAGAGTCTTTAAACCTCTTTTGTTGACCACCGGCATTATGCTTTCCATTTTAAAGTTTAGAATAGAGTAGTTAAAAGACATCTATTCCACTCAGAAAGCTACAGTTCCCAGAGTTCTCTGGGAAGAGGGATTGAATGTTAAACCACTTCAAGGTAAGATCAAAATCCCACACTCACCAAAATCCTTTAAAAAAAAATAAAGTGCCCTGTGAATGATGCAGAAAAAACTTGAAGCTTCTTTCACAGAGGAAGGAACCCTTGGATAAATCTGAGGAAAGCACTATAATGAATGGCACAAAATAAGATTTCACTGAGCAGCCAACTTAGGGAATCTAAAGCGTTTGAAACCCCAGACTGTTTCCTATTGAGGACAGGCAAGGAATGCCATACTCGTGCTTTGATTTCTCCTGACTACATTGTCGGCTTTCTTAAATGAGAGACAGAGAGAGAATGTCAGTGAGAGAAATGAGGACTCTTGAAAACCATGTGAAAAGAGCCCTAACGAAAAAGAATGCTGGAAAGCAAAAAGGTCTGTAAAGGTGTGCAGCAGCCGACATGTGCAGAATGATCAAAGGGCTATGAAAGACACGTCTCCTCCATTGCAGGATCTTACTTTTCATCAAGCTCCTCCAACAGGTGCCATGATAGCTGTGCCACTTGCAAGAAATGGCAGATGTTGCCGACAGAGAGAAGAGAAGGCGAAATGTAATGCACAGTGACAGTTTAGGGAATAGAATAGTAGTAATTAAAAACCAGGGGAGGGCCCTAGCTCAGTGGTAGAGCATCCGCTTCACGTGCAAAAGGGTCCAGGTTCGATCCCCAACATATCCAGGTAGCGCTGAGAGAGTCCTCCCTGGCTGAATCACTTGAGAGCTGCTGCTGGTAGCACAGCACTGAGCTAGATGGATCAATAGTTTGATTCAGCCTAAGGGGGGGGGGTATTTCAAATTTCAGCTGTGCCCTGTCTGAGCCCAGAATTTGGCACACCCACACACCCACCTATGTCCTTCCATTCTGCTCAATTCATGTTGTCATAGTTGCACCGTCCTGCCTCTAAATAGGGATTACAAATGGGGAGAGTGCTGTTGTTCTCAGCTCCTGCTCTGGGGATTCTGGCCACTATGAGAACAGGATGTTGGACTAGAAGTGTCATTTGCCTGATCTAGCAGATTCTTCTTATGTTCATAACTCCCACCATCCTTCATCATTGACCATGATGCCTGTGGCTGATGGAAGTTGGAATCCACCAACATCTGGAGCAGAGGCACCAGCTTGCAAGGGTGATTGGGGTGCCAGCACTGTGCATGTGAACATTGCATGCACACAATGTCCCAATGTCATACGCGCGCCATCAGGATGTTGGGAGGACCTGGGGTGGAGGCAAATGTGGTGGCATCATGGCTTCAATGGCAGATGGCTCCTCCTCCTGCTCATGATGTCACCACCAGCAGAGGGATGCTTTGACCCTCCTTCCTCTCCTCAGCAGGAGGAGATGAACAAGAAGGAGTCGGCCATTGAAGCCACACCATGCTTAGCTCTGTGCTCAGCCTCCTCCATCCCCTGATTTTTTTGGACAATGGGGAGGGTCCCTCCCAAAACTATTGGTGGGGGGACAAGAGGGCTCTGCCCTCATGAGTTGGCTCCCCTGATCTAGAGGGACTTGTTATATAATTACCCTTTTCATTGAACTCAGCAGCTTTTGCACAGCTGATAGTGGCACAACTACATGTTCTTTAGTCCTATGCTACAGATAATATTTTGAAAGAGAATGAAAAACAGAGCTTCGGCTTAGTATTTGCCTCTGACTGCAGCTCATTCCTAATGGTCTGAAGCAACAGAGAGAAAGAGACCAATGAATGACCCCGTAATGCTTGCTTTGAAAAAGTAGAGCAGAATATTGGCAAATACTTACACAGGCCAGGGTCAAGAGAAGTGGTATGCTTCTGAATACCACTTGCTGGAAACCTCAGGAGGAGAGAGTGCTGTAATACTTAGGCCCTGTTTGTCGGCTTCCCAGGAACATCTATTTGGCCACTGTAAGAAAAGGATGCTGGACTACATGGATCTTTGATTGAATCTAGTAAAGCTCTTCTTGTATACTAGCTGATACTCTTGGCACAACACCAGCTGAAGCACAGCAGAGGACAAGATAGCCATTCTTCCCTCTGGGAAGCATGCACAGAGCATAAGGTAGCCAAGTCGCTGTACTAAAGTCTCCAGCTTGAGACCCCTAACATGGGCATAAAGCAATAGAACTGGGTGTTTTCCTTGATTCCATTTTGACAGTTGTGCGTCACACTTTTAGAAAGGAAAAGACCAATTTACACTGAAGTTAAATGTTTTCACTTCCTCATCAGAATAGGAGAGAAGCTTGCTGCATCATGGACATACCTCTTGCCATGACCCTCCAGCCACAATAGCTTAAGAGGCAATTAATCCAATTCGTTATTTGTTGAATCAATACTAATGCAATGTTTTCCCTCTCCTATAATTTGCAGGCTTTGACTGTTCCGACCGTCAACAACATCGAGGTAGGGAATTCTGGTTTGTTCTGACTGCATTTATGTCTCTGAGTGATTGAGGAAATTGGGCTGCCTGCGTACGATGGAATGTACACATTTGAGCTTTAAGGTTCTTCCTTAAGTTGCTTTGGTATTGTTGTATCAGGTTGTTTGGATTTAATTCACAAGGACATTATTTTGGAATAGCTTTATTCTTCTCTATCCTGTTTAGACTTTCTAATCCTCCACATATCTGTAAATCTAGCAAAAGAGGAGTAGAGCATAACCTGCTCACACCATAATGAGAGCTATGTGCTTGCTGAGATTCCTGTGGGAATATGGCTATATGTACAGAATTAAACTTTCTCAAACTTGTGGCCATCATTTTTTTTTAAGTTAGTTTCTAGCCCATGTGACTGCTAAAAGTTGCTTGCTTGCTTAGAAACTTTATTGTGGGTGAAAAAGCATAAGTCCTGAAGAAATAACTTTACAGGTTGTAATAATATAAGTCTCTCCTTGATTTATTGGCAGGAGTGGGGGTATGTGATTTGTGTGAAACATTTGCCCTAGTGTACCTTATCTCCATGAAGAGAAACTGGTAACTTCTTGTTGACTGGAGCCAACCAGTGCCAATGGTAGAAGACCAGTTTGGTCCTCATTATATCAGTGTCTAGAACTGTGGCATTCCTCTTTTCCGCATAGAAAAGAATGGCACGCAGTCATTCATATGGAATAAAGTCAATGTGTGCACTCATGGACATTGTTGTGTTGGAATTAGAACTGATCCTTGCCCTGGCAACTCAGCTCCTGGAAACCTGCTCCAATCTGCATAACTCCACCTCTTTATTTGAATAGCCCCACCTCTCTCGAATGAGAAATGTGTGACCCTTCAGATCTTGTTGGACTATAACTCCCATCATCCTTGATCATTGGGCAAAATGGCGGGAGCTTATGGGAATTGGTGTCCGATATCTGCCAACCTTACTATCTGCATTGGAGGCTCATATAGTCCATTGCATGGTGACTTAGGTGACCCCATTTGTGGAACTACCTATCTTTGAAGGTACAGTCTGATGATTCCCCCCCCCATCAGCTATAAATGTATCTATTCACACAGGCATTGTGGAGAAAAATGTAAACCTAAGCACAGGGGTTTTTTTATGTCTACAGCTGGACTATTTGAATGGCTAGGTGCTGTGTCTTTCATCTTATTTAATTTAATGTGCATATTGTTATTTATAGTATGTTATTGGTACACTGCTCAGGGATTGTCCAAGGCATTTTGCTCCCTGGTGACAAGTTAATGCTGCTCTCCCCACTTTCCATATGCAGAAGCTTGGCAGCTGAATCTTACTTCAATACTGGCCAAAAGCTGGAGGGGCTGCCCCTGATACCCTCCAGTATTTGCTGCCTGAGGAGGTTGCCATACTGCTCTTAATGGTAGCACCAGCTTTAACAGGGATGCCAACTTGAATAAAATATTGTGGGGGCCCCGGTAAACCCCACCCTGCATAATTGATCACATGATGCAGTGCACACACACCATTTGAATGGGAATGCCCATCAACTTTGTGGGGAGCCGGGCCCCTCAAATATTTTATTGTGGGGGTCAAAGCCCCCATTGCCCCTAGGAGTTGGCTCCTATGAGCCCTGACATTGCCCTGGCGTCCTCTGGGATAAAGTACAGTATAAAAGTACAGTGAATTAATAAATAAAACATCTGAAGGGCCACAGATTTCCTGTTCCCTTCATTATAGGAAGACAGAATCCATATCCCTATTTTCTGAATCCTTTGTGGGAAGAGGGCAGCTGGGGATAAGTGCATTACCTACCTGCCTCCACTATTGCCATGCTCACCACCCTCCACATAAGGGAAGGCTAACCTTTGAAGTGGGAAGCTTATAGAGTTCCCACACAGTTTGAAAGCCTGGGAATTCAGGGTTGCAAATCACAAGTGGGGAGCTTGCACCAGTTGAAAAGGCTGGATGGAATCTCATGGAGGGTTGTGAGCATTTAGTTGGCCACTGTGAGAACAGGATGCTGCACTTGATGGGCCTTTGGTCTGATCCAGCAGGGCTCTTCTTAAATTATTATGGGATAGTAACATGGGAATGAAGCTAGTGTGCTCATGTCCTCTGTCCCTCATCATGTGATAGTGAAAATATTAGGACCTGGGGTATGTTTCTGTGTCTTTGTGTGTTTTGCATGATGGCTAATAATTTCCCAGGTTGCTCGCATGGATTTGTACGTGAGAAGCTGCTGGCATACTTTGGAAAAAAAATCTATTAGCTGCCATGTTTTTTCTTTCACAGAAGTAAGCTGTTAATTCCCTGTTGCCGCAATGGCCCAGCCACTGTGCCTTAAAAAAAATAAAACCAGCCTTATTTTATTTCAGTGAACAGAGACTTCCTCATTTAAATGTAATATCAGTTGATAGCCTAGAGAGTGTTTCTATATGAAGCTGGCCCCAGCTTCACAGCAGGAAATTTGTGATGCTCGCTAAAGCTAATGTTTAACTATAACAAAATGTCTAGGTGACTGTTTCAGTCAGATAAATTTTTAATAGGAACCTTTGGTAAATTAAATTGCATTATTAAAGAGAATAGATAAACTTAGCTAGTTGCTTTAAAGAACAAGGACATAAGTTCACTTGCATTTGGAACAGGAATGACAATCTAATTCACTCAGATTCAACTTGAAAGTGATGTTTGCAAGCCTCAGACCTGCCTGTCGTACAAATATGAATGCTAGATTAAACATCGCTGAGTATGACAAAGTTCAGAATTCTGGTAATCTGTGACTATAACAATTTTTGTGTTTCCATATGCTAACAAACTGTTTTTTTAAAAAACGGGAAAAATAGATGGGTTTCACAAACGTATTCACATATCCTTAAAAAAAGGACACAAGTTTTATTTAGTAGTGGGGGCCAAAGAACCCATTTTGTTCCTAAAACATGTAATGTGAAATTAAGTGTCACTTTCCCACTTCAATCAACATTATTAGCTGCTGTCAGGAAGTAGGGGAGGTGATAAAATAATGGAGCATTTCTGCTATGAAACAGTGTAAAAAGAAGATAGAGAATTGCATACAAGGCTGCTTGGTTGGGGGTTGGTTGGTAGCAAATCAAATAATATTTAGTTCACCCTAGGGATGGATGAATCTTGTGAATATTGGTTTCATATAGTTCCACTATTAATTTTAATTTGTCATGTTTGCAGATATCAGTTTGCCTTTTTTAAAAAAAGGAAAGAGTCCTTCTTTTCATTACATTTTCTCAGCTGTTTAGTATGCATTTTTCCTTATATGTACTTTTTATTGCAATTTTAG